GTCTGGAACCAGTTGACTTTCAACCACAGGTGAGTTCTGATTTGTGATTTCTCAGTTTTTTTAAAAAGCACTTTTAGACTCTGGAGTGATAAAAAGCCCCCCCCACAAGGGCTGAACACTAACAACTGTTCCTCTTTGTGCTAGTAAAATCTAGCATTAAACATGCCTTGGAGTTATATTCAGATTGCCTTACAGGGGACTCAGCACTGCACATTTGAATTTCATGTGAAAGGTCTTCGTTGCTCAGGTTATTGCTAAAGGGAGTCTTTCCCAAAAGGGAATTGTGAGAGCCCACAATTAGGTAGCCGCTTTCAGGAGAGTGCTGCTTTGCTTCTTGATATGTTACGGAGAGAATTGAATGTTGGCATTTTTCCATGTGAAACTTGATCAGACAGAAGACTGAAGATCAACAGCGGCTGAAGACGGTTGCAAGGCACACCTCAAGGTTCAGAGCTAAAGGATTTCTCAGAGGCCAAGCCAGTGATTCATTTGCTTGTGCATGGTCATGCTGTACGCAAGCTAACTCCCTGCTATCTTTAACCTATTATTCCAGTCGGATTAGGTGTAAATAGACTGACAAATATAAACCTGTCTTATCCTTCCCTCAGACTGTGACACTGTGCTAAGAAACAGACAAGAAAAGCTGATCCTACAAAGAATTCGGTATAAATAAAATCACCACTGCAGTGTGCTGTGGGAGGTCATCTCTTTTTTTTAAATTTATGTCTGTAAGTGAAGCACATCTTTTTGAGGAACAGAATGGTTTATTCCTGTTTGAAAGCTTAACAGACAGACCCAGCAACTTGCATTTCAGGAAAAATCTGAGAAGACTACAAAATGTAGATGTTTATAGCTCAGCATCCTAGCTGTCAATTTTCTTTTTAGCTGCAGAACAAAGACTTCACAGCTGTAATAAAGCTTTTAATTTAATATTCTCACTGTGGTCTGTGCACTCTGTTGGACAGTACACTTGAATTCCTGAGCAGATATTTCAGTGAATTTTCTGATGTCTAAATGAGTAAATATATAAATTTATGCAGTTCCAAACAATTCTATAAACTAGTTGTTATTTGACATGAACCAAGGCAGCCTGCCTTCTCCACAGCTTTAGGTGTGGCTTTTGATTAGCACCAAACAGGACTGGCCATAGCATTACTTTATCTTCTGTGTAGACATGATACAACCAGCCTGAAGTCAATTTAGAGTGGGGTAATACTTGCATGGCTTATTTAAATTAATGCATTTTTCTAAAAAAAAAATAATTTGAAAGAGGAGGAAGTATCCTTTCTTTGATATAAACCCTTTCCTACCTAGTAGCAGCAACAAATTCAAACTCGTGTTGTAATAATGGGCAAGGGCAATTTTTTTCCCCAATTACTTTTCTTTCTTGGTTTACGTGCTCAAGTAGACATATCTACTGCCAAGCTGATAGTTTGGGGGTTTACTTGAGGATAGTTCAGCTCCTTTCCTGTCCTTTTCCCTCAAGTGAATGCTTCAACGAACAAATGGAGATTTCTTCATAAAATTTCTCTTAGACCTTCTTAAGCTTCTTTGCTTTGTGCCAAAACCGGTGGTTTCACTGGTAACAAAAGTGCGTTGTGAAGTCAGTAGGCATTTTTGCTGCTTTGGTGTGCATTTCTGGTCAAGCTGTTGGTCGGCAGAGGGCAGAGGAGTCACCGCCTGGCCCAGCTCCCTCCGGCGGAGATTAAACGAGTCTCTCCTCTGACGCCAAAGCTGCAAGAATGCAAGTCCTGCTGAGTGTGTGCTACAGGAGCTTGTAATTCCAGTCACACGGTTTCTTGTTCATCGGAGGGCTGGTGAATAGCTCCAGGTGGCAAAAGCAAGGCTTCTTTTATTTTTCTAGTGTTTGTTCTATATTGCAGTTCTGCACTTTTGTCCCATGGTGCTGAGCTTCCTTTCCACCCTTAGCAGTGCCCCACAGTTTTCTAAAGGCCATATTCACACTGTGCCTGGCAGATAGCTCTCCTGTCAGGTTTGCCACACTCCGTGGTTTATTTAAATCCCAAGTGCTTAACTTTTCATTCAAATCCTGAAATTTTTTAAAATCATGTGACTTACTTCATCCATTCTTACCCAGTTAAATGTCTGAGTGGCACCAGTGGGCATTTCTTTATCAAAAATGCAAGTGTAGGTCCCTTGCAGAAAACCAGGAAGAAGCTGCCTTTGCTTTTTAGCCACTTCTTAATAAATTCTGTAGTTAGGAATGGCAATGTAAAAAACCTTCCTGTACGCTACAGAGATGGCTGAGGTTTTGAAGTGACTTTTAAAACTGGTAAAACTTAATTTGCAGCTTGATAATTGTGAATCCTAAACTGAGAGAGCTGTTCTATACCTAAATCCAAAACAAGCTGCTCCTTCTCTCAAGTGTCTTGGATTCGGACAACATTTAAGCAAAAACTATTAACTCTCTTCACGTTTTCTTTCTACTGTTTTCTTGCAGTGTAAGTTTATTACGAAGCTATTTCATACATAATGCCTCTATGGATTCTGAAGACAAATTAAAGCTATTGGAAGCTGGATGCTGCTACATAAACTTAGAAATTCAAGTTTAACATTATCTAGAATACTTGGAAGTACCTTTTTGGCAGGAAAAATAGAGGAGCAGTGTTCACTCATTTTACTCTGGAGTTGCTTAGGTTGAATTTTCCCAAATCACGAACAGGGTCACTGACTCTTAACGAGGAAAAAGCTTAACCATTCTTTATACCTAATTTAGAAGTAAAAGCTTTTGCTGAGATACTTTCTTTAAACATGCTTCAGTGATCATGTTTATTATTTTCCTGGTACAACTTACTCTTAAAATCTTACTGCAAATATGTTTGCAGGCAGGGTTTGCCGCTGAAGGTGCAGAATCTGGAACACCTTTCCATGACATAAACTTGTCAGAAAAGGTATGTTGTCTTAGTTTCTTTAGTAAATCTAATTATCTAGCTTTCTTTCCCCTAGTCACTAGTCCAAAATACACATCCTGCACATGCAAGAGAATCATTTTGCTCTTTCATGGATGCACAGGAAGGTCATAGCTGAAGAGAGAGACTAAATCAACTATGAACAACCAACAAGGTAGAAATGCAACTTTTAAGTCACTCAGGAATTCCAGAGAGCAAACACCTGGAATACTAAATAGCCAGCGTTATTCAGAGTGGTGACTGATTTTTCTAGGAAGATGCCTACACATTTTCCTGTGTGCAGAGAAATTAAAAAGTAATATAAAGACACTATCCTTCAAAGCTCAGGATAATAACTCCAGCATTGCAAATCTTCCTTGCTGTGAGCAAGAATCTCAAGGTCAAATCTGTTCCCTGGTATCCTACTTGGCAGAGATCTGCTTGTCTGCTTACCCACCTGACTGGAGTATTGTAAATGATAGATAATCCTCTCATATGCCGTGGTTGCTGTCTCGCCCACTACAGGCTGTAGACTACTGTCTGGGTTTAGAAGACAGGTGACTGCCAGGGGAAACCAGAGCCTCCCTTGGAATAGGGAATGTAAACCCCCCCCACCTCCGAATTGCTATAATTTTGAAATTATGGGGCTTTCAGGCAAAGATATGGGGATAGGAATACCAGTTCTTTACTAAGAATATTGCAAACTACAAAGGTAATGATACAGAGAAAAGAACAACATCAAACAAATACCCCCAGAACCTCTCACAGAGTCAGAATACGACCTGACTTGGGAACAGTCCAAAGTAAGTCCAAAGTAAGTCCTTCTGGAGTGGCAGCTGCATTGGAGTGGCATTGGAGTAGAGATGATCCGGTAGAGGGGTCCCAAAATAAATCCTCCTCTATGGCGAAATGGTGGGTTCGGGGCTCAGGGCGGCCTCGCTCCCACTGAGTGGAGAATGTGGGCACAAGGGGAGCCTTAATGGCTCGTTGACAGGTGATATCCCCTTGGAGGAGGATGGGTGGAGGACGAGATAAGGAATGACTGCCCCGTTAACAGAAGGCACCCACCCCTGGACTTACATTTTTGGTTACATATTGTAACCCAAGACAACTACATATGAAAAAAAAGAAATAAATCATTGTTAAAATAAAAACACTGAGACTGAAGCTCATTTAATTTCAGGTTAGTGCTTTTTCTTGTCTCAAATATCAGAACTTTACTTAGTGACGGCACAGTGCTTACCACAGAAATCTAAGACTCAAATTTTGGGTAAGGCTTTAGTGTGAATTCCAGTCTATGTTTCAGACATGATTGCATTCTATCCTCTATAACTAATACTGTGAAATCTTATTTCCCGTAGGATTGGAATGACTATGATGAAAAAGCAAAGGAATCTGTTGGAATCTATGAAGTTACCCATAAATTTGTAAAATGCTGAATTTCATACCCCTCATAAAGATGAAGCTGTAACCATCAGAGATGCAGTTTCCTTGGAGTTACTTTTCACATGGCTGTAGTTCAGAAATGGAAACCTAAGTTGCACTTACTGTCCCCAGCATGCTGTAATAAAATATTTTCCACAGAGCACTTTGAGATGGCCTCACTACAAACTGAAAATTGTATATATGTACACTTGACTGAACGGTGCCATTTTCTTTTTTTTTTTAACGGCCTACCACCAGGAAGTACCCACATTTAATTCCCTAACATGAGCAAATAAGGTCTTTTTACTCACCACTCCTATCACCAGGAAACAACAGCATTAGTACAGGGAGTGTGTCAGCTCTTCAAGGGAAAAGCTAGATCTTTAATAGCTTTCTGCCAGTTCAAGTAAAGACACTGAGGTGAGTTTACTGAAAACACCTAGAGTGCTCCTGACAGACACAGCTGTTACAATCTTCTGCAAATCAAATTACCTTTCTGAGTATGTCATTAAGGAAACCTTACTAACTTCTAGTTCAGGATAGAATTTCTGCTTCTTGGCAAGTGGTCTTAAACAATCTTGCCAGCTGTTGTCATGTTTCAAAGAAAACAAAAAGCGTTAACAAAAATCCCACCCAAAAATCTTTAGTGCGTTTCATTCAAAGACTTTTGGTCTGATTATCGTTGCCTGGTACATTATTTTCATCTTTCTCCCAGATGAGAGAAAGTTTTTTCTTTGTTTAAATGTACAAGAATGATCGTGGTGAGTTTTAAAGTAAGTTTTAAAATAATCCTCTTCAGCTGAAAACTAGAACAGCACATTGCAGGCTGCACAGCAAACAGCCCTGACTGGGAGAAGTTTATAAGCCTTCAGGCTTACACATTTAAAGCGTGCGTCTTGCCTTCCTAGAACTTGCAGTTTGTACTTCAAGATGTGGTATTGCTTACACCCACGGTTTTAAAGAAAAAAGACACTGGGTGAACCTGGAAGCTGCAATATATAAAGGAAGAGTAAATCTAGCTAAAGATGTCCCTGCTCACTGCGGGAGGGCTGGACTAGATGGCATTAAAGGTCCTTCCAACCTAAAGCATTCTATGATTCTATTCTGTGAAATGCACGTAGGTTTTTGAGACTGTTCTGTCACATCCAACCAACATGCTCAGACTTACTTGTTCTGCTGGTATATTTGGTTTTCCAGGACACAGGGCTGTGCAGAGAGACATGAGCTGCATTAAGTTTTACACAGTGCTTTTCAGCTCCAATGAAAAACATCTTCATAGAAGAAAGAGTGGAAGTCAGAGGGTTTAAAAGGCAGAGGAGTTCACGTTATCCATACCAGAATGAATTTAGTGCAAAAAGGGGTATCTCGTGCAATAGCATCTGTGTTGCAGTCCCAGCAACTCTGAGCACCTTTGGCTTCTTGACTGACAAGGGCCCCTTTTGCTGAGCTCACTCTGTAGCTGCGAGTCCCACTTGTGAACAGCACACAAGGAACTTGTCTGCATCAGTTTCACCTCCCAGTCACAGCATCACTAGGTTTTACTGATGTTTATGCTAAAGCTCTCCTGCAGTCCTTCACAGAGTTGCGATAAGCCCTGGTCTTCAGAATTTCTGCAACAGGCCCCAATGCATTTCAAGATGCAGCTCTAGGGACCAAGACTCTGGCCCTTGCTATAATGAATAATACCAAAAAGTTCTAGCTGATAGAATAAGAAGGAAACAGGAAAGTGTTCTCTTGAGGTTGCTTCTCTGCAGTAAGAGGAAGTTCAGCAATTTTTCTTTTTTAAGGCACAAGAACACAGGGTTACATAGCTAAAAAAAAGCAGATTGTTGGACAGACTTCGTGTATGGAAGGGGAGAGCTAACACTGCAGAATGCTTTCAGCAGTATTCTTTTCAACCTTTTTAAGAAACGAGCTATTGGTACAGGGACTATATGGCAATAAAAGAACTTTGTGGTTATTAATAGATGGCTTTATTAGAATACAGTCTTTTCCAGTCAATTTTACAAGACAGTTGGTGATTACAGATTACTTAAAGCATCCCACTTCATTTTTTGTTTCTCTAAAAGCTGTTATAGTGGAAAGGCTTCAAGCAGTTGAGGCACAATCAGTTCTGGTATCAATTCAAGTTTAAAGATAAAAGTAAATGTGACAAGTTAGTAAGCAAGCTTACTGCAAGAGTGCAAATGTAACCACTCTCTCATATTTAAAATTAGTGCTTTTTTTTTTTTTTTAAAATCAAAGAGTTTAAGAGTGGTATTACAGTACTGTAGTCTGAACAGTCACAGAACACAGATGTTCCGAGTTCATAAACTCGCTAACAATGCTTCTTATTTTAAAGAATGTGTTTTAAGAACACATGGATCTGTTGGAACAGATGGATCTCTTACATCTTTTTGACACTGCAAACGTATTTCCTGAAATACGCATTCAAGGTCTGTACTTGATATCTTTAAAATAGATACATATTTCATAGTGAATCTAACAGTATTCAAGTTCAATGAAGATAAGTTAAGCCAATTAAGCTAGGTAGTCTCAGCCACGTTGAATACTGTTCAGTATGCCAAGTAGACACAGTCTGCATTTTGCACTGCAGCTGTAAAGTGTTCCGACATTTTTATGTCTAACTACTAATTCTCTTGCCCTTTAAAACATTAAAGATATCTTCTAGTGACTTGTGTATACACTGAAGGAATTCTTTACCATTCCTAGTCGGGTAAGAGGAAACATTGCAACCTATCCAATCATCATGTACCTGATACCCTAGTCCAAAGCCATCCGACACCACTGGGCCAAACCCTCCCAACTGCACAGCCGGGCTAACCAGTGTGCTTGTAGAAATGATGTTGTGATTAAGCCGAGCATAGGCTGGGTCTTGGTAGAAATCAGGCAGTGCAGTACCTCTGGATGAGGCTAAATAGCGCAAGCCAAAGAGATGTCGGTCAAATCCCTGACCTGTTAAAATAAAATAACAAGTATTAGAGCAATGACTCATTTTTGTGGGAAGTGAACTCACTTATTTTGGCATCACATTGGTTTTTAGCCACAGAAGAGGAGGTCTATAGAACTGGGCCTTATTTTTTTGTGTTAGCAGGAATTATTTTTCAGAACTCAGACATTCTGCTCTTTAAATGCACATATCCTAGGGAATGAGGATTTGCTGTTTTACTGCTAGCCTGATCCAGGCATCCTGATAGTAAACAAAAGCGCAATATTAACAGACAACTTTAATAATACATCACATCCTTTGATTAATTATTTATCTGAACATATCCAAGTTGTTTAAAACAGAAAAGCTTTCCTAAAATTTATGAATCTAAAGAGAAGAGGATCTTACATCAACAAAAGGAGCCAAATTTTAAACTCTATGGGGTAATGGTCCACAGTCAGTTGTATTGAAACAGTACAACACGTTATGCTTCTGGGAAGGACAATTCAAAACAAAGCATTTAGAGAAACACCAGAAGTAGCACAGCCAAAGAATCAGTTTGATTTGGAAGCTGTAAAAGCCTTTATCACCTGCAGGGATAAAGCAGTAACTCCTCAGACATAAAGCCAAGGTTCTTGGTTGCCTTGGGGAGTACAAGACACACTAAGTTATTACCAAATCTTCAAACAGCCCAGCTGCTATAAGGACAAAAACTGAAGTATGAAAAACTCTGAGCACATTAACAGTGAAGTGGGAAGCACACAGGCCTTCTCCTCCATTGCGAAATGAGTGCCAAGGTTCTTGGTTGCCTTGGGGAGTACAAGACACACTAAGTTATTACCAAATCTTCAAACAGCCCAGCTGCTATAAGGACAAAAACTGAAGTATGAAAAACTCTGAGCACATTAACAGTGAAGTGGGAAGCCTTCTCCTCCATTGAGAAATGAGTCTTTGAGAATGAATTGTAAACTGTAGCCTCCTGCTACTCTTTGTCAAGTTTTCTTTATCATTAGATCTCCATCAAAATTAAACTAGTTGTGACGTAAATGTTTAGAGCAACTTTAACAGACATTCCAGTGCAAAAGCAAGACTGATACATTCCTACTTACCCATTGCAGCTTCTTTTGTCAAACGGCCATGGTATTTTGAGCACTCTACTATCAACTTCTGAAGCTCTTCTGTGCTATGTTTGGACGGTTCCCTGACAAAAGCTTCCGAACATTTCTTTGTATGGATAGAGGCAGGACGTATAGTTTCTGTCCGACCGTGTTTGAAAGCCGCAGTACTACAAGACTCATATGTAGCAACAGTCTGATTGTACTGCCGAAGGAAAGCCATCTGGAAGGCAAGCTGAGCTACAGCATCTGGGCTTACCTTCTTCTGCTTTAGAAGGTCCTTGCCCCCTTCATGGAACTGAATCAGATTAAGAGACAGCGCTTCTACAGTGGCATCAAATTTCTGTTTGGCTTTGGTAATTCCTGTTTTTAAGGCATCATTCAGCTTAAAGTCAAGTTTCTGCACTGCTCTAGAAGAGTCTACTGAAGCAGGCTGGGACTGGGGGCTGATGGCTGGAGCCTTGGTGCTGTCTTTAAAAACCTCATTCTGGAACCTGAGCACAGCCACACCATCGCCCCAGGAATGTTCAAAATTAACTCCTGCCGTGCCATCCTTAGTTATGATAAGATTAAAGGATTTATCATACCAGCGGTTAGCACCATCTCCATGCAACATCGTGTGGGACAAGTGCACAAAGTCTTTAACGGCAAAATCATCTAAACTTAAACAAAACACAGCAGAGTCTACTTTTTGAAGAGCTTCTTCATTGCCGTTATCCAGTAGATTCTTTCTCAGTAATGCCCACGTATCTCGGTTTTCACTGGTGAGGTAGCCAAGAGGGAAGGCTGGCGCTGGACTGTTGTCACTAAGGATGTATTTCAAGTGTGCTTGTATTTCTGAAGGTTTCAGCATATTTCCATCTCTATCAATAACATCGAATACATAAAAATTCCCATTTCTCAGTACTAGTAAATGTTTTGCCTTTTCATCTGTATAAAGTTCGTCTTTGTCAGGCTTAGGCAGGCGTGT